AGAGAGAGAGAGAGAGAGAGAGAGAGAGAGAGAGAGAGAGAGAGAGAGAGAGAGAGAGAGAGAGAGAGAGAGAGAGAGAGAGAGAGAGAGCACGCCACGCCGCGCGAAACCACCTTTTTCGTTTCGAGAACGAGTGTGAACAGAACTCTCCATCTCTTCATGCACAACATCGCTGAGAGAGAGGAAGAAAGACATGGGGCCTGGCTCCACTACTCACCAAATGTGCAAACTGAGAATGAATCTTCACTTAGAACATTGGAAAGATGCATCGCCATATTTTTGGCCTTTTGTGCATGTGGTGAGTAGTGGAACGAGCCGCATGGACGGCTGGACGGGTGTGTGTGTGTGTGTGTGTGTGAGAGAGAGAGAGAGAGAGAGAGGGAGGGAGAGAGAGTGCTCTTCGCCAGGCTAGGGGAACTTACCTACTTCGCGCACAACACCTCTGAGGGAGGTGAGAAAGAGAGAAAGTGCACTTTCTGGTACCTGTTTGCAGGTATCCCATGCTCCGCTCCGCCGACTTGCGTATTCCTTTTCCTTTCATCGGCAGCGCCGACCAAATCTGGACTGCGCGGGATCGGACGTTGCCAAAGTGCATGGTTGAGAGCCCGGGCGTCGATTCACTACACAACGTATCTCGCGGAGAACGTGGTCGTAGACATTCAAAACGCCAGTCCAGTCCAAAAGCAGATGAAAACGCAATCGAGATATTACCTAGCTCCACGGGAACACGCCAAAGAATGCGGTGAGCGTGGATCGAACACGCGACCCGGACGTTGCCAAAGTGCATTATTGAGAGCCCGGGCGTCGATTCACTACACAACGTATCTCGTGGAGAACCTGGTCGTAGGCGTTCAAAACGCCAGTCCAGTCCAAAAGCAGATGAAAACGGAATCGAGATATTACCAAGCTGTACCGGAGCACGTACACAAAGAATGCGGTGAGCGTGGATCGAACACGCGACCTTCAGATCTTCAGTCTGACGCTCTCCCAACTGAGCTATCCCCGCATAAGTTGGTAACCTGCTATATGGGCCTTTTCGCCCAACACATGATTTAGTATGTTTGTCTTTCCCCCCCCTCTTCGCTTATTTTCCCCTGTTAGGGCCGAACCAATGCATCACCGAAAGGGGTGTGCCAATGCCTTCTTTTTTTGTTCTTTTTTTTGGTGTGTGACAGCAAGCTTCCGAGCCCACCAACAAAGAATGAAATTTGGCAGGTGGAAGTTCTCAGCTACTTGAGTTCCTTGCCTTCATGACAGCGTAATGAAAGGACCAGAACCTTCGAGTCAGGGCGAAGAGGATTCTGAATCAGAGGAAGATGGGAACAGACGATTTTTCAAACCTGGAGCACGGGACATATAAAGAGCTGACAAAGTGTTTAAACCGATGGGGAAGAAGATGGGTCGAGCGAATGCTATCTCCTTCTATGGCCATGAGAAGCCTCAGAAAAGGAACTGGGGGGGAGCGAAGGGCAAGACGAAGTGGAAGATAGAATATCCGATGGAGGAGGATATCAACGGGGGTGGGGGATTATTGGGTGCGAAGCCCATCGAAACGATGGAACGAGGAGACGAAAATGCCCTTAGAATACTAGTCCCACTCATCCTCGCTCATGCTAGTACCTGGGTGATGGTACTTGCTACGCAGCTGGCAGATGGTTCAATGAAGCTGCCGACGGCAGAAGTTAATGAGCTATAAAGAAGCTGGTGATACTAAAGAAAACAAGGTCCCTGATCCCAAATTGCCTCCGGGTCAGAGCAATTCAGCGTCTGGGGATTGGGTGCCATACAGGCCGAAAGTGAGATTTTATTTCGCAATTCTAAACGCCAAGATGGAAAATGTGATCAAAGATCAACTCGAAGCCCCCTTGACAGGGCTTGGTTTCCGCTTTACTTGCTGGACTCGGATCTGAATGAAGATCTGGACCGTACCTCAGTGAAGGGATCCTTCTCTGCAAAGGCGATCGCTGAGTGGCTGCTCGATGCAGATGTGCACAAAGGTATTTTATTCGATAATTCCTTCGCAGACATCCTCCTTGCCCCATGCCTAGAGACTCCATCCTGTAGCAATGGCATGAATGGAGCCCAAAGAAGAAAACAGTTGAGCCTTATAATCAGCATTCTCCAAGAGGCCGTATCACTGGCAAAAAGGTTTCTCGATAATAGATGCCAAGTAATGGAAAGCTGAAGATCGCTTTGTGGAACGTGCGAGTCTTGTGTGATACAAGCATCAAGCATAGACGTAATCGTCTAAAATCTTGGATTCATAACAACCGGGTGCAAATAACGTGCATCCAAGAATCCAAGTTGGATGAGACTCATTTAGGGGAAGCCGAAAAATGGTGAGTTGGCCCACAATTTTGGGGCCCCGCAAGGGGTGGCCAGGGGGCTATTGGAACAAGGGGAGGGTGGAGATTCTTTTTCACAAAATTTCGATACTCAAATTATTGACTGAATGGTCGATACTTGGGG